ATCTGCCCATCTGTATCGTAGTAGTATTATGAAGTATTGTTGGTGGTATTTCTACGCAGTACTCCATAACCAATAGAAGAAGTAAATCATGTCAGAAATCACAGCGTTGTATTCATTAACCTCAGAGTTTCCACGACGAATGATTCAGAGGTCACATGACAAATTATCTCACTGTTAACGGCTGACGATGTAAATAAAGAGACTATGTTTGGGAATTCTGGTTGGCATCTTATTTCCTGTTTGTGGATTTGTGAACATTTATACGTCAACGTTTATTATAATACATGATTTAAGTTAGCTGCCCTCATTGCTTCCGTGTAACTGAGATGCGTGAGAATATATATATATTTATATATATATATATATATATATATATATATATATACGTAAGAGTGTTTCATTAGTTAAGTCCTAAACGGCCCCTCATATTTCTCTCATCAATATATATATGTACGGAATTAATTTAATCACACACACATTCAAATAAAAACCTGCAGCTTTATTAAAGCAGGAACAGAGAAAAGTGAACACAATCAAATTGAACTTTTCCAGTTAATCCTTCTTAATTGAGTCTGTATTGTTCCGTATCACAGCGGCTTCAGCTCAGAGGAGAGCGAGGGGAAGCATCATCACAGCATCACAGCGAGCCTCAGACCGTCCTCGCTCTCCTCGGTTCGGTCCCAGCGCCGAGATCCACCAACCGCCTACAAAGGCTTTATAACGACGCACGCTGAGGCTCGGGTCTTTGTCCTGAATGAAAAGGCCGTGCCATCTGATTAGCTTAAAAGCTAGAAGGCAACTAGCCAGCTGCTACGTCTAAATGAAGCATCATCCACATTGATAAACAGATGAAAACATGGTGGATAATTAGCAGGCTAGCTTAAGAACTCTCCCCACACTGAGCTCAGAGAACCAGCTGCAAGCACCCGGTTTCCCTGCATACGGACTACTAGTCTCGTTTGTCCTCCTTTTGAGAAAATAACTAAAAAGGTCCACCTTTTGACACATGACCTCGTTGGTACCACAGTAGGGTTGCCAACTCTCCCAACCCCAAATGAGGGACACTCTGCGGGCTGACGGGGGGGTTGAGAGGACAAACTACTACTGTATCTCACTGCTCATTTTAACAGATAGGACAGCTCTCACCTCACATGCTCCGCTCTGGGTGCCGTCAGAATGAATTCATACAACTCAGTCCTGTTCATGTTAATTAGCATAAAAAATATTATTAGACCCATGTAATCTGTATTGGAAGGGCACGTTGTCATGAGCTGTGTCTTGTATTTTTTTTTTAGCTATGTGGTATGTGTATGCACCTTTATGTAATCTGGTGGAAAAACATAGTAACATTTAAAACCGGATCACACCAAACAAATATCTGCTTGCGTGTCCCCGTGTGTGCAGAGTGTCCTCCTTTTTGACGTGAAGGAAATGACCCCCTAATACGGACCGATTGGTGTATTCCACATCCTCTGCTTGCTTTCATGTTCTGTGCCTCTGACGTGAGCTTTTCTTTGTCCTTTTCTTCTTTCTCTAACATCTGCAGCATAGTTTGGTTTTAGCGCACGTTTCAGACAAAGTTTTATTCTCATTTTATTCCTTGTTTGTGTAGGCAAATAAAACTGATCTATGGATCGATAACTAAGAGTATTGATACAAACAGTGTCCGACATTATCAGCTGTTAAAGATTGTTGTTCACGTTGAAGCTATGAAACGCTCCGCAGCTAATAGGTAGCGACCTGTGACCTCTGACCTGTTACCACACTGAGCCAACACGGACTCCGCTTCAAAAACCCTCCAGACTCGTGTTCTCTTTTACTTAGTTTATTGTTTCTTTTGTCCACAAATAGAACCTTGTTTTATAAAGGTAAGAGTGGACAACATGAGGTCAGAAGGCCGTGCCAATGTCGCCCAATACAAACGCCAGCCCCGCGCCTCAGTCGCCCCCGCTCTTATCTGCTGATCCTCGTCAGGTGAATCTAATACATCATAAAGTTATTTCAAATATGAACAAAAGAAGTGAATACACATAATTCCTACCAACAAACAAGTGAAGGATTTTCTAACAAAACAGAAAATATGGCTTCTACATGGGACCTTCTTTAAATGATTCAAGTTACCCAGTAACTTACTAACTGTGGGTTATAAAGACAGGCGGGGGGGGGTCACCTTGAAGCGGACCGGGAAGTCCAGCTCCCAGCAGGTAATCCACCAGAACCATGATGAAGATGCTGAGGAAGACGGCAAAGTCACTGATGGAGGATCGGACCTGAGGGCACGAAAGATGAATTCAGAAGGAAAATGTTGCTCACAATTCACATGAATAGACCGATGATATCAATAATTCACAACCCTAATCACTAATTCAGCATCTTTCCCGGAGTATTTGTGCTTTCTCTCCTCACAGGTTTCCATGGATCATGGTTCTATCCGGACCCTGTTCCTGCCTCCTACCACGGCCTTGCTGACACCTGCTGCCATCATCCTCATTATTACTATGAATCACATCACTATTACTGTGACCATAAACCGAAGGTCACTAACTGGTGGACTGCGGTTCGGATGCGGACCCAGAAGCCGCCCCATAAGAACCAAAAGTTTAAAAAAGACGGTTGTGATTTAAACGTGACGGCGTACTTTTCGTGCAGCTTTAGTCGTCTTTTTGCTTGTGGATTAAAGCACCAACCAATAGCATTCAAGTTATACCACTCGACCAATCGAGTCTTTGCATTCCAGGCAGGATGATACTGTCTCAATACTGCGGAGGCAGCGGCAATGACAAATAAAAAGACAGTAGGGAGAAAACGAAAGATGCCGCTCTCCAAAAAGAGACAAATGGACAAAGAAAGTAGAGCATTTAATCCTCAATGGACGGACTGGTTTCTGTTCATAGGTCCCACTACAGCACTAAAAACCAGTGTCTCATTTGCTCGGTTTAATGAGGCTCAATGAGCTCCTCCACGTGATCGCGAATCGCAAATTACAAATTTGCCTCAGAGGACTTTACAGTCTGTACACATACAACATCCTCTGTCCCCAAACCTCCATCGGCACAGGAAAAACTCCCCAAACAATGAAAAAACCCGTCCAAGAGGAAACAAGGGAAGAAACCTCAGTGAGAACGTCAGAGAAGATCCGTCTCCCTGATGGACGACTACAATGATGTCATGTGTACAGAATGAACAATGTATAATACATGAGACTATATGACAGAAATGATTCAGTAACTGTGAGTAGTAAACCAGGACGCACAGCAGGGACCCCTGCAAGGGACCACCACCATCACATAGACCCACCATCACATAGGAACCACCGTCACATAGAACCACCGTCACATAGAACCACCCGTCACATAGAACCACCGTCAGATAGAACCACCGTCACATAGAACCACGTCACATAGAACCACCGTCACATAGAACCACCGTCACATAGAACCACCGTCAGATAGAACCACCATCAGATAGAACCACCGTCACATAGAACCACCATCAGATAGAACCACCATCACATAGAACCACCATCACATAGGACCACCATCAGATAGAACCACCATCAGATATAACCACCATCACATAGAACCACCATCAGATAGAACCACCATCAGATATAACCACCATCACTTAGAACCACCATCACATAGAACCACCATCACATAGAACCACCATCACATAGAACCACCATCAGATAGAACCACCATCAGATAGAACCACCATCACATAGAACCACCATCAGATAGAACCACCATCACATAGAACCACCATCACATAGAACCACCATCCACAGAAGCCTGTGGGGAGGGAGAGAACAGAGACTTTAGGAGAGGGTAATGTTGGTTTATGAGTACAGTAATATGATTAATATCTAAAATAATAATAATAATAATAATAATAATAATAATAATAATAATGATGATGATGATGATGATGATGATGATGGCAGCAGCAGGCGTCAGCAGCGCCACGGTAGGTGTCAGGACCAGGGTCCAGAAGGAACTACGATCTACGGAGACCTGTTAGGGAAGAAAGCACAAAAACTCCGGAAAGAAGCTGAATTAGTCATGTGCATTAATAAAATGTGAATTATGGTAGAACTACAGGGTGTTCCATTCCCGGACCAGCAGGTTCAGGAACAGCTTCATCATTGCGGCTGTCACTCTATTGAACTCTGCCCCCCCCTGAACTCTGAACTCTGCCCCCCACCCCCCCACACACACCTCCCTCAGTGACTGTACTCCCCCCTCCACCCTGGCTTGACTGCCACACACCCTCCTCCAGCCACTGAACATTTGCACTGTTATTGTATATCCATTTCTTACTGTTCATATCTATTTATTCACTTATTACACTTTACATATGCACACACTCTGCACTGCTACTTTGCACTTCTGGTTGGACGTTAAACTGCATTTCGTTGCCTCAGTACTTGTACCCTGTGCAATGACAATAAAGTTGAATCTAATCTAATCTAATCTAATTTGAACATGCAGAAATGTTCACATTTGATTTTTTTTAAATGCAGCCTTACTTTTATTTAGTTAATTGAGAGAAAATTATTTATATTTGCAGTCATACATATATGTTCAGTTATTTGTTGTGACAATACATATTGTCAAAAGAGTTTTAGAATCATACTAATTCATTTGATTTGTTTGTCAGTCGTGTATTGATTAAATGCAAATGTTGGTACATGTCGCATGTGTACAGGGTTAGGGTTAGGGACCGTCTGGGTTCAGCCGAGACCAGAGCTACTGAACGGAGCTTCTGATACTGTTAATCAATAATAATCAATAAACATCTGCTGAAATGGAACAACAACAAGTCCATCTAAAGGGCTGAAAGAGGATCGATCTGAAGGGGACTCTGACTCCCACAAGTGTTTGTTCATTGTGTTTATTTAAGGGGTCACTTCTGGACCAACCAACCACAAAGCACCGTGAGCAATACGCCGGTGCTGCCTGCGAACATGATGCCAGTGATCGATGATGACAGCTACGCCTTAGACCGTGTCGGCGTTCTATAAAGAGCAGCAGACCTCTTGGCGTCCCGTACTGTCCCCGCCATGTCTCGCTGTGTCTCAGTCCTGCTGGTCCTGGTCCTTGTGGCCCGCCTCAGCTCGGCTCAGCAAGTCAACAACCGGGCGGAGCTGAAGGAGGTGGAGAAGGTTCTGGAGGAGCTGAAGGCCGAGAGGCGAGGTGAGGCTCACTTTATACAACTGTGTATTTATACACATACCTATACTCATAAATATATATGTGTATATTAGGGCTGTCAACATTAACGTGTTAATCTGTGAGATTAATGTGGCCGAGATTAATGCGATAAAATATTTTAACGCAAGACCCCGGAAACTGCAGTTTGCTGCAGTCAGTTAGAAGAACAGAAGTCAGCGCCATCAGAAAGTAAAGTCCAGTTTGACCCGCTTTAATCTGAACATCTCTTGACAGCGATGAGCGATCGTCTGCAGGCGGCTGAGAGAGAGCTGAAGAGAGTCAGAGGTGAGGAATATGAAAGACGGAATGAGGAGACAGTGGAGACTAGGGACATCTCACTGTCTGTAAACTGTGGTAAACTCTTCTTTGCAGACACACCTAAAGTGGCCTTTGCCGTCTCGCTGGGGGGAAACGGTGTAGTGAAGACAACGACTGGCAGCATGGACCTCATCTACAAAGACGTTCTGACCAATGTGGGCGGGGCTTACAGTGATGCGACAGGTGAGACACACAAAAAACACCATTCCCCTGCTTTCTGCTCTTCATCACGTTAAAGTTCATCATGTTCTACTCCTCCTCCTCCAGGAGAATTCACTGCACCGATCCGTGGAGTCTACTACGTCCGCTTCACCGCCAACGCCCCCACCAACTTCCCCATGAGCGCCGTGCTCTACAAGAACGGCGCCGAGGTCCAGCTGATCGCCCACGAGCAGCCATCCGGAGAAGGCAGTGACACGGCGTCCAACGGCGCCGCCCTGCTGCTGCAGGCCGGAGACAAGCTGAAGATGATGCTGTGGCACAACACGCACATCTGGGACAACAGCAACCACCACAGCACCTTCAGCGGCTTCCTGCTGTTCCCCCTGTGAGGCTCACCTCTTACTGTAACACATACAGGGCTCTGATTGGCTGTCTGAGGTCTGACACCACTAAAACTACACAACCGCTAACACTACTACTACTACACAACCAGCTAACACTAATACCACCACTACTACACAACCGCTTACACTACTATCACCACTACTACACAATCACTTACACTACTACTATCACCACTACTACACAACCGCTTACACTACTACTATCACCACTACTACACAACCAGCTAACACTATTACTATCACCACTACTACACAACCGCTAACACTAATACTACCACCACTTCTACACAACCGCTAACACTACTACTAGCACCACTTCTACACAACCGCTAACACTACTACTACCACCACTTCTACACAACCGCTAACACTACTACTAGCACCACTACTACACAACCAGCTAACACTACTACTAGCACCACTTCTACACAACCGCTAACACTACTACTAGCACCACTTCTACACAACCGCTAACACTACTACTACCACCACTACTACACAACCGCTTACACTACTACTACCACCACTACTACACAACCAGCTAACACTACTACCACCACCACTACTACACAACCGCTTACACTACTACTACCACCACTACTACACAACCGCTTACACTACTATCACCACTACTACACAACCGCTTACACTACTACTATCACCACTACTACACAACCAGCTAACACTACTACTACCACCACTACTACACAACCAGCTAACACTACTACTACCACCACTACTACACAACCGCTTACACTACTATCACCACTACTACACAACCGCTTACACTACTACTATCACCACTACTACACAACCGCTTACACTACTATCACCACTACTACACAACCGCTTACACTACTATCACCACTACTACACAACCGCTTACACTACTACTATCACCACTACTACACAACCAGCTAACACTACTACTACCACCACTACTACACAACCGCTTACACTACTACTACCACCACTACTACACAACCAGCTAACACTACTACCACCACCACTACTACACAACCGCTTACACTACTACTACCACCACTACTACACAACCAGCTAACACTACTACCACCTCTACTACACAACCGCTTACACTACTAATATCACCACTACTACACAACCGCTTACACTACTACTACCACCACTACTACACAACCAGCTAACACTACTACCACCACTACTACACAACCACTTACACTACTACTATCACCACTACTACACAACCGCTTACACTACTACTATCACCACTACTACACAACCGCTTACACTACTACTACCACCACTACTACACAACTGCTTACACTACTACTACCACCACTACTACACAACCGCTTAGACTACTACTACCACCACTACTACACAACCAGCTAACACTACTACCACCACTACTACACAACCGCTTACACTACTATCACCACTACTACACAACCGCTAACACTAATACTACCACCACTACTACACAACCAGCTAACACTACTACTATCACCACTACTACTACCACCGCTACTACACAACCGCTAACACTACTATCACCACTACTACACAACCGCTTACACTACTATCACCACTACTACACAACCGCTTACACTACTACTATCACCACTACTACACAACCAGCTAACACTACTACTACCACCACTACTACACAACCGCTTACACTACTACTACCACCACTACTACACAACCAGCTAACACTACTACCACCACCACTACTACACAACCGCTTACACTACTACTACCACCACTACTACACAACCAGCTAACACTACTACCACCACTACTACACAACCGCTTACACTACTAATATCACCACTACTACACAACCGCTTACACTACTACTACCACCACTACTACACAACCAGCTAACACTACTACCACCACTACTACACAACCGCTTACACTACTACTATCACCACTACTACACAACCGCTTACACTACTACTATCACCACTACTACACAACCGCTTACACTACTACTACCACCACTACTACACAACTGCTTACACTACTACTACCACCACTACTACACAACCGCTTACACTACTACTACCACCACTACTACACAACCAGCTAACACTACTACCACCACTACTACACAACCGCTTACACTACTATCACCACTACTACACAACCGCTAACACTAATACTACCACCACTACTACACAACCGCTTACACTACTACTACCACCACTACTACACAACTGCTTACACTACTACTACCACCACTACTACACAACCAGCTAACACTACTACCACCACTACTACACAACCGCTTACACTACTACTATCACCACTACTACACAACCGCTTACACTACTACTATCACCACTACTACACAACCGCTTACACTACTACTACCACCACTACTACACAACTGCTTACACTACTACTACCACCACTACTACACAACCGCTTACACTACTACTACCACCACTACTACACAACCAGCTAACACTACTACCACCACTACTACACAACCGCTTACACTACTATCACCACTACTACACAACCGCTAACACTAATACTACCACCACTACTACACAACCAGCTAACACTACTACTATCACCACTACTACTACCACCGCTACTACACAACCGCTTACACTACTATCACCACTACAACACAACCGCTTACACTACTATCACCACTACTACACAACCGCTTACACTACTACTATCACCACTACTACACAACCAGCTAACACTACTACTACCACCACTACTACACAACCGCTTACACTACTACTACCACCACTACTACACAACCAGCTAACACTACTACCACCACCACTACTACACAACCGCTTACACTACTACTACCACCACTACTACACAAACAGCTAACACTACTACCACCACTACTACACAACCGCTTACACTACTAATATCACCACTACTACACAACCGCTTACACTACTACTACCACCACTACTACACAACCACTTACACTACTACTATCACCACTACTACACAACCGCTTACACTACTACTATCACCACTACTACACAACCGCTTACACTACTACTACCACCACTACTACACAACTGCTTACACTACTACTACCACCACTACTACACAACCGCTTAGACTACTACTACCACCACTACTACACAACCAGCTAACACTACTACCACCACTACTACACAACCGCTTACACTACTATCACCACTACTACACAACCGCTAACACTAATACTACCACCACTACTACACAACCAGCTAACACTACTACTATCACCACTACTACTACCACCGCTACTACACAACCGCTAACACTACTATCACCACTACTACACAACCGCTTACACTACTATCACCACTACTACACAACCGCTTACACTACTACTATCACCACTACTACACAACCAGCTAACACTACTACTACCACCACTACTACACAACCGCTTACACTACTACTACCACCACTACTACACAACCAGCTAACACTACTACCACCACCACTACTACACAACCGCTTACACTACTACTACCACCACTACTACACAACCAGCTAACACTACTACCACCACTACTACACAACCGCTTACACTACTAATATCACCACTACTACACAACCGCTTACACTACTACTACCACCACTACTACACAACCAGCTAACACTACTACCACCACTACTACACAACCGCTTACACTACTACTATCACCACTACTACACAACCGCTTACACTACTACTATCACCACTACTACACAACCGCTTACACTACTACTACCACCACTACTACACAACTGCTTACACTACTACTACCACCACTACTACACAACCGCTTACACTACTACTACCACCACTACTACACAACCAGCTAACACTACTACCACCACTACTACACAACCGCTTACACTACTATCACCACTACTACACAACCGCTAACACTAATACTACCACCACTACTACACAACCGCTTACACTACTACTACCACCACTACTACACAACTGCTTACACTACTACTACCACCACTACTACACAACCAGCTAACACTACTACCACCACTACTACACAACCGCTTACACTACTACTATCACCACTACTACACAACCGCTTACACTACTACTATCACCACTACTACACAACCGCTTACACTACTACTACCACCACTACTACACAACTGCTTACACTACTACTACCACCACTACTACACAACCGCTTACACTACTACTACCACCACTACTACACAACCAGCTAACACTACTACCACCACTACTACACAACCGCTTACACTACTATCACCACTACTACACAACCGCTAACACTAATACTACCACCACTACTACACAACCAGCTAACACTACTACTATCACCACTACTACTACCACCGCTACTACACAACCGCTTACACTACTATCACCACTACAACACAACCGCTTACACTACTATCACCACTACTACACAACCGCTTACACTACTACTATCACCACTACTACACAACCAGCTAACACTACTACTACCACCACTACTACACAACCGCTTACACTACTACTACCACCACTACTACACAACCAGCTAACACTACTACCACCACCACTACTACACAACCGCTTACACTACTACTACCACCACTACTACACAAACAGCTAACACTACTACCACCACTACTACACAACCGCTTACACTACTAATATCACCACTACTACACAACCGCTTACACTACTACTACCACCACTACTACACAACCAGCTAACACTACTACCACCACTACTACACAACCGCTTACACTACTACTATCACCACTACTACACAACCGCTTACACTACTACTATCACCACTACTACACAACCGCTTACACTACTACTACCACCACTACTACACAACTGCTTACACTACTACTACCACCACTACTACACAACCGCTTACACTACTACTACCACCACTACTACACAACCAGCTAACACTACTACCACCACTACTACACAACCGCTTACACTACTATCACCACTACTACACAACCGCTTACACTACTACTACCACCACTACTACACAACTGCTTACACTACTACTACCACCACTACTACACAACCGCTTACACTACTATCACCACTACTACACAACCGCTAACACTAATACTACCACCACTACTACACAACCAGCTAACACTACTACTATCACCACTACTACTACCACCGCTACTACACAACCGCTTACACTACTACTACCACGCGTACACCCCCCCCACTCTTCCTCTAAAGGTGGACACTTGTCTTTGTCTCTAAGGGTGGACGAACCTCCGACAGAGTTCGATGCTGAAGCCGAACTGAAGGCTCTTCAGGCCTCGCTGAAGCAGGTTCAGACCGATAACCTGGGTGAGTCTCCGCGTGAACGTCTTTATGTCCTCAGCAGTGAGCACAAGCTCATCACTAGTTATTGATCGGTTCATTCTTGCTGTGTTTTCAGAAGTCAAAGAGAGACTGGAGTCCGCTGAGCGGGAGCTGAAGGCCACGAGAGGTCGGTCACTTTCTGCGCTGCAGCGCAAGCTAGATGAAGTCTGTGATTTGTGGTTGGGTTGACGTCATTGGTCCGTTGGTTGGATTGGAGGCAGGATTAATGCGTTGGTTTCGCCTCAGATGTACCAAAGGTGGCCTTTGCTGTTTCTCTGGGAGGAAACGGTCTCCAGGAGGCCACAACAGGAAGAAAAACTCTCATCTACAAAGACGTCATGACCAACATTGGACAGGCCTACAGTTCTGAGACGGGTCAGTGCCTCAAACTATTAATTATGTCATATTTATTAGAGTATTCCCAGTGTTTCCCCACCGGGGGCAGACAGATAGCCTGACCAACAGCTAGTGGAAACACTGATTAAACTATTAAAATATTATTGGTGTAAATAATTTATTAGAGCATTATTTATTTATTAGAATAAAGACCTCCACTGGCTCCCCGTCTCCCACCGGATCGCCTACAAAATCTTGACCCTCACCTACAAAGCCCTCCACCAACTTGCACCTCCCTATCTCTCTGAACTCCTTTCCCCCTACCAACCTCATCGGTCCCTCAGATCCACCTCGGCCAGACTACTTCTCACCCCCACATCCAAACTCAGCTTTGGGGACAGAGCGTTCTCCAGGGCAGCTCCCGAGCTCTGGGCCTCACTCCCCATCCTCACCAGAGACTCCGACTCCATCACCACATTCCAGTCCCGCCTCAGAACACATCTGTTCTCATCTGCTTACCCGTAGCCCCCTCCCTCCCCCTACCCTTCAGTCTATGTAGTTGTAAGCGATCGGCCCGTATATGTCGCCCCTCGTGTCTCGTCTCCTGCCTGTCTGCCTCACACCGTCCCCCCTTCGACTATGTTAAAGCGTCTTTGAGACATTTAGAAAAGCGCTATATAAAACCAATTATTATTATTATTATTACTTATTAGAATATATTGTATCAGAACATTACATGTCTTTTAGCTTTCAATAAGTGCTTTTCAACCATAAGGACCAAAAGAACAAAAAAGTGCAATTTCATCAAATAAGCTGATTTACAACTTGCTATAGATAAGAACCATTATAAGTCAAATTTAAGTGCTACAGTTTGTGTAGTCGTTTTTTGCCTTTAGTTAGTGGCGGAAGATGAGAAGAGTCTCTGCGGTCCTGATGTCATCAGAGAGCTCATTCCACATTATTGATCAGAAGGTTGATGGGTTGAGTCACTCTTCCAGTAAAATACATACTAAGATATTTATTAATCTTAAGGGACATTCAGATCAGATTGTTGACACCTTAAGGTGTAAATCATGATTCTAAGATGCAAGTTGAATAACAGGAAATATAACAGTTGTTCTGTATGTGTCCTCCTCCTCCAGGAGAATTCACTGCACCGATCCGTGGAGTCTACTACGTCCGCTTCACCGCCAACGCCCCCACCAACTTCCCCATGAGCGCCGTGCTCTACAAGAACGGCGCCGAGGTCCAGCTGATCGCCCACGAGCAGCCATCCGGAGAAGGCAGTGACACGGCGTCCAACGGCGCCGCCCTGCTGCTGCAGGCCGGAGACAAGCTGAAGATGATGCTGTGGCACAACACGCACATCTGGGACAACAGCAACCACCACAGCACCTTCAGCGGCTTCCTGCTGTTCCCCCTGTGAGGAAGGATCCGCCTGCATGTTTTCTTTTGCTCCAATGGCCTTTTGAGGCAAATTTGTGTTTTGGGGTTATACAAAATAAAATGATTTAAATGAAATTGAAGCCTGTAGAACAGGGGTGCTCAATACGTCGATCGCGATCGACCAGCCAATCTCAAAGGCAGCACCAGTTGATACGTGCCATCGATAAAAACTGACGTCACGTCACGCATGCGCCGTCTACCGCAGGAGATGACTGAAATGAATGCTAATGCTAATTGACGCATTTCATTTCATTCCAAAGCAACCCGGGCTGACTCCTGTAAGGCAATGACCAAGAATGTGCCGAGTGCTCGTGATGTTTCAAGGTTATTATGGTTTTGAATTTTTCACTAGTTTTTTTTAAATTTAGTTTGGACTTTTTGTTTTCAATTTCAGTTTAGTTTTAATTAGCTTTTGAAGCGTGTTTGCTAGTTTAATTTAGTTTTGATTAGTTTCAGTATTAGTTTTACCGTCTTTACCGCAGAATGTAACAGACGGGGGGGGGGGGCGCAGTCAGGGAAGCTTCATTTTTTGCTTGCAAAACATAATGCTCACAATGAATTGTAGATACAAGCTATAATAAGTGATAAAAACAACACAACATACCATTTTAAAAAATGTATTTAGGACAGATGAACAGCCATCCGCAAGAGACAACTATGGAATATGTGTCAGTGTGTTTGTGTCATTAACCAGAAAAATTCCACTGGACACAAAAATATCAACAACAGAACATAAAATGTAGATATGGGTGCAAATATGTAAACAGTCTACAGAAGATGCAACAGCCAATAGACTAAAGACACACGTGAACAGCATGTTCTAAACCCATTAATGAGCCACACAGGACATTGCCTGGGAGTCTCAGAGAGCTCAATCTGAAAGAAATTTTTTTTTAATAGTTTGAAATTAATATAAAATATTTATGATGCGGCACATTAGGTATGTGAAACATTGATGAAGCACAAACAATTTAAACGGACAGATTAATAAAACAATAAGGCTCTCGCTCCAAACGGCTGCTCTTGTCCGCCTGTCGTTGTTCAACAAACGCGGCGCCCTCTTGTGGTATTAAAGTCAATATACCGCATTGTCCGCACTCCAAGGCTTAAAAGGCTTTAATTTCCTCAAAAAACGAGAGCGACTTATAATCCGGAGCGCCTTATATACACGGATCAATTGGTTGATCGGTTGATCCGTACTGGTTGTTCACTCTGCCAAACACGCCAAAGCTCGTCTACGACGGCGAGATGCTGAGCGAGATACGGAGCTGCTTTCAGGGCGCGTCGGAGAAACAAAGTCGTTCTCGCCGAGCGCTTCATGACATTAAAGAGCGAGAGACGGCGCCCTTTTCTCTACAGTAGCTGAACCATCTTAACGGGGAACATAAGTTATTCTAAAAGCAGCCGAAGATTTAAGGCGTGGATGGCGAGGGGGGCGGCGGGAGCGGACGCACCTCGCGGCATCGATCGGACCCTGAACGCACCGTCTCCACCTCCCTGTCAGAAAGAACCACAGCGAGCGCGTAGAAAACTCCTTCCAGCAGCAGAGATTCTCCTCGCGAGCAACGAAGCTCACGTTTCGCAAGCGAGCAAATACCTCGAGGAGACGGACTTTTGCTCGCGGATGTTTGATTTTGGTTAAATTCTTAAGGTCATTTAATATTATGTTTTGATCAGAGTTGTGATTAAAGGTTTGATTGGCCGCGGAAGATTTTCAGATTTCAAACTGGGCCGCGGCGTTCTCGAGTTTGGGAACCGCTGCTCTATAGCATTGACAAAGACGTAAACTAAAGACATTTTCTCTATAATTCTATTTTATTTTAGTTAGTTTTGTAAAGACACAATACAGTTTCAGTTAGTTATCGTTTTTTTTATAAAGGCTCGTTTTTATTTTTATTTCAGTTAACGGAAAAAAAAATCACACCTCGTTTTCATTTTTCCGTTAGTTTTCGTTAGCGATAATAACCTAACGACGGTTTCCTCCTTCTGACAGATGAGAGGCTCGTTGTTTTCGTCATATCGACTCGTTCTGCGCTAAAACTGACTGGGATGCTGTTGGAACAGATTCCGGAGCAGTTGCTTGATTGCGAACTAATCAGCTCGGTCCGTCTATTAAATATACAAAAACAAATTTCTCTTTGTAGGTCTCCCTTTATTCAGTCAAATTTCCACCACAAAGCCTCTGTCTGTCCAGAGGACCTGAACACAACATGTCCACGTCTGATATATTAGTAATAGATATATATGTGAAGACTTGTGATGCGTTGAGTCCACACACACACACACACACACACACACACACACACACACACACACACACACACACACACACACACCAGTGGTAACTGAGTCTACAACACACAGGCTCACCACAACGGACAATAGAAGATTGGACAATCGTTTCCTGATGAGTCTCGTTCCAGCTGAACATCCAGATGGTCGGTCAGAATGTGGAGTAAACCACATGAAAGCCTGGATCCATCCTGCCTCGTACCAACGCTTCAGGCTGCTGCTGGTGGGATTGGGGGGGGGCATTTTCTTGGCTCACTTTGGGCCCCTTGGTACCCATCGAGCGTGGTTTGAATGTGTTTGTTGCTGACCATGTCCATCCCTTTAGGACCACAGTGTCCCATCTGAAGATGGACCATGTCACAAAGCTCATATGATCTCAAAGATGACGATGACTTCAATGTACTTCAATGGCCTCTATGTCTCCACATCTCCATCCAGTGGAGCCCCTTTGGGACGTGCTGGAACGGGAGATTCATCATAGACGTGCAGCCGACAAACCTGCAGTCAATATGGATCTGTGAGGAACGTTTCCAACACCTTGTTGATTTAAAAAAAATATTTGCAGTTTATTGCATGACATGAGTATCACCCACCAACCAGTAAGAATCCGGGCTCTCACAGACCAGCTGGTTTGTTTTTAGGAAACCCTCCTGTTCTCCACTCATTACTGTATTAACTGCACCTGTTTGAACTTGTTACCTGTATAAAAGACACCTGTCCACACACTCAATCAAGCAAACTCCAACCTCTCCACAATGGCCAAGTCCAGAGAGCTGTGTAAGGACGTCAGGGATGAAGTCATAGACCTGCACAACGCTGGGATGGACTAGAGGACAACAGGCAAGCAGCTTGGTGAGAAGAACAACTGTTGGCGCAAGTATTAGAAAATGGAAGAAGTTCAAGATGACGGTCAATCTAGCTCGGTCTGGGGCTCCATGCAAGATCTCACCCTGTGGGGCATCAATGATCATGAGGAAGGTGAGGGATCAGCCCAAAACTACACGGCAGGACTTGGTCAATGACCTGGAGAGAGCTGGGACCACCGTCTCAAAGAAAAACATTAGTAAGACACTAACGCCGTCATGGATTACAATCCTGCAGCGCACACAAGGTCCCCCTGCTCCGGCCAGCGCATGTCCAGGCCCGTCTGAAGTTTGCCAATGACCATCTGGATGATCCAGAGGAGGTATGGGAGAAGGTCATGTGGTCTGATGAGACGAAAATAGAGCGTTTTGGTCTAAACTCCACTTGCAGTGTTCGGAAGAAGAAGGATGAGTACAATAACCAAGAACAGCATCCCAACCGAGAAGCATGGAGGTGGACACATCATTCTTTGGGGATGCTTTTCTGCAAAGGGGACCGGCCGACTGCACCGTATTGAGGGGAGGATGGATGGGGCCATGTATCGCCAGATTTGGGCCAACAACCTCCTTCCCTCAGTAAGAGCATTGAAGATGGGTCGTGGCTCCGTAAGAAGCATCTCGCGGTCCTGGAGTGGCCTCGCCCGTCGCCACACCTGAAGCCAATAGAAACTCTTTGGAGGGAGCTCAAAGTCTGTGTTGCCCCAAAACCTGAAGGATCTGGAGAAAGTCTTTTCGGAGGAGTGGGCCAAAATCCCTTCTGCAGTGTGTGCGAACCTGGTCAACAACTACAGGAAATGGAAAGAAATGCCTGTAATTGCAAACAAAGGTTTCGGTACCAAACTAAAATTAAAATGAATTAATTCCAACCAGGTTTGGCTTTTCTCATGTATCAAATACGTATGTCATGCAATAAACTGCAATATGTTTTAACTCATACAATGTGATTTACTGTATTTTTATTTAGATTCTGTCACTCAGAGTTGAAGAGACTCCTACATGCTTTGTAAGTGGGAAAACCTGCAAAATCGGCTCCCGAAAATGTTCTCCCCACTGTGTATGTGTGTATATATATATATATATATATATATATATATATATAT